TGGTGGGGGCGGGGAGGTAGGGGCAGCGTCTGTAGCTTATTCTGCCCCGGGTCCCAGGAGCTAGAGTTGGGCAGGGGCCCTCGGATGGGTGCGCGGGCGCAACGCCTCTGCCTGGAGTGAATTCCCTGAAGCCCAGGTGCGTCTTGAGGGGAACCAGGGACGCTTGGGGCTGCCTGGCCCTCTCCCCGCTCCCACTCTCCCTCTCAGCCAGCTGAACAGCCCCTTGCAGGGGAAACTTGAGTTTCTTCTCCTGTCCTGGGTTCTACACTCACTTATTAGGGAAATCCGGGGGCTTTGAGTTGCCAGCTCCTGGGACAGGGACTTGCCTGCCTTTGTCTGGAGCTCACTGCCAGATGCTTATAAGATCCGTTATAACCTTGCCATTCTGTTACTTCACAAACTCAGCACTTGTCATTTAAAGACACAGCAACTGCTCTCATCTCAACTTTCAGCGACTGTCCCCTGGAAGAGGCTGTGCTGCAGTGAGGTGTATTTATTAAGACTTCATTTCTTTTACAAAATATACAACAGCCTACTTGCATGTTACCCTTAGTAACCAGTACTAACTTATGCTTTCTTTAAGTATGGTGTCTTTACATTGTGTTTGTCTACTCTTTAATTTGCAACATTTACTAACCAGGCCTGGACCTTCCTGACATTAGTGGGGATGTAAAAAAGTGCAACTATTTAAAGGGTTAACTGATAAGCACCAGCATATCAGTTTGTGTTACAAGTTACATGCTGGCTCCCTGGAAGTGGGACGGGCAGGGGCTGCTGGCCCCGCTCCCGGGGAGCCAGATTTTTTACGGGCTCTGCAGTATAAAAGTTATACTGCAGAGCCTGCAGCAAAGGGAGCTGGCAGTCACCACATAACCTGCAGCCAAGCCTCCCTTAGAGCAGGGTCAGCAGCCCCGGCTGGTCCTGCTCCTGGGGAGCCAGCTTCACCCTACCCTGCAGTATAAAAGCTATACTGCAGAGCCTGCAGGGTGTGTAACCATGTAACTGCTAGGATTTTTAGTGGTTATACAGTTACATTTTTAAACGATTTTTTACATCCCTAGTAATTAGTACAAATTAGTGGGATTCTGTTGTAAATTGCAACTCTTAATACCATGCAGATGGCTCACTGTAAGAATTTAGTAAAGGAGAATAGTTTTTAAAATCACTTGGTTTAAAAATCATTTCTGCCTTTGCTTACTTGCCAAAATCTGCATTGAGTCCCTGAGTGTCTTTTTTCCTCTGTTGGAACTGATGATATCACTAACTCCTAAAGTAGCATTTTTCAGCTTCTGATGTTAGTAACAGTATCTGCAGTTATAGAGCAACAGAACTGAAGGGCTAAAGTCAGATCTTGGTGGATAGAAAGCCCTTCATTTCACCTTTAAGGATCCTGACTTTTACAGTATAGAAAGAAATGCCAGAAAGTCATTAGTGAGGAGAAGGAATCATGTTCTGGTTTGTTAAAGCAAAGGCCAGGGAATTTAGAAATGAGTTCTAAATTCTTGTATAACTCTTGGAAGTCACTTCCCCTCTCTACCCCATGTAAAATCAAGAAATTATTTTGCCTACCTAAATGGGGGATTAAATTAACTGACTGTGAAGTACCTGTACATTGAAATCCTTGAACGGAAGGAGCTAAAGAGGAGCAAAGTATTATTTTAATTAATTATTAAAATTAAGTGACCAATTAATTTTTTACTGGGGTTCTAAGAGATCAACTTGATGAAGAGAAGAAAGGATAAAGTCTCTTCTAGTTCAGGATGTTGCTAGAGCTAGACTTGGCTTGGTTGAGCAAGCACTGGTGTTTTTGGAAATGGGTTGGATATTCTCTTTACCTCTCTTTTGACTCCATACATCTGAGTATTCCCATTTTGGATATATCCTTTCCCACAGTTACGGCCACATAAAATTCCCATTCAAATATTGGCAAGACAATGCCAGCCACTGCTGATTGGCAAGTGTTGTCACAAGTAGTGGTTAACTTTCTTGAGGAGTTACTTCAGAAATACAATTATCCCCATCACTGAGGAGTGTGTGATATGTTGGTGATGACTCAGAGCAGTCTAAATAAAAGGCAATATAGAAGACAGGATAATTTTGTCTGTAGCATAGTTCATAGTACTGTTGACATAAATAGCCATGTTAGCAAATGGATGGCAAAGCTAGTTCTGCCAGATCTGAACTTGACAACTATTCTCCAACATGATCATAGCTAGCACAGTTTTTGTGCCTGGTATATATGGGCATGCATGTGAGTGTTTAAAAATCAAGAGACACATTATCCTTACAGAAGTCAACAACGTAGCTGCTTAATACAAATGTAACATACATTGGCAAAAATGGCTCATGTCCTCAGTCAGGCAGAGTCATCCTGATGGGTTCCTGACAGGTCCTCTAATCCGTCAATGATGATAAACTTTTGGCTGTGTACATGCGTGTGTCCCCTTGTCTAATGCATTAATCATGCACAATTAATCAACATGACAAACTCTGAGAGAGCCCCCAGAGACCACAAATCAGATAAAGATAAAAAGCACCTGAGTAGGTTTATTGTCAAGCAAGGTACAAAATAGTTGTCAGCGAATGGACTCACCGCTGCGCCACTATACATATGTACACCATGACAATCGACTAACACCCAACTAAACTCTCTGGATTCTAATGTGCCCCGTCCCGTGTGGTCAGCTGACCACTTGTTTTGTACAAACAAATACCAAACAAACAAGTTACACATCAAGTTACACAGTGGAGAGAGATAAATAGCACATCAAGTTACACATCACTCCTGATGTATCAGGTTGCCACCCTCTGTTAGCTAGTTACCTCCCCTTACGTCACAGAAGGGGGGGGGTTCCATTACTATCCATCATGCTGTCAATTTAGACCTGATCCTGAATCTGGGACAGTATGTATGTTATTTGTGGGGTATGTGCTGGTACCAAGATGTTTTAAATGAGGTGTTCTGTTATGACCCCTCTGGAATGTGCTTTCAGCCTGTGCCTAGTATCTCTGAAGTATGAGTGTTTCTGTAATAGCCCTGTTCTTGCCAATTTCTGTGAGCAGGGCCTGCTTCTTGCTCACAGCTTAACTTTGCTTTATATTAGCAAAGTCTTGACCATTGCTGTCTAGGCCTCAGGCCTCATATGTGGGCTTATGTTTCAGACTCTCATCTTACTACAGCTAGCATAATTCACCACTGGTGGAGCTTCACTGGTGGTAGCAGTGGTAAGAATGCTAAGCAGAGGTCAGTTGTATTTACTACTGTCATCCTGTCCTGCTCAGAGCAGACCTAGATAATTTGTTAGTAAAAACACCTGCAGCTCAGCCAGTGTTTTTACAATGCTAGAGCAATGGTGAGGAAACTCACTACAATTCTGGACAGGGTCTAGCTGCGGCTGCAAACTGTTGGACTATACCTGTCCTTGAAATATATTCAGATACATTTATGAGTTCTAATGCTACCAGGGCTTTATGCTTAATCCATTTTTTGGACTGGCTTATTGCTGTCAGAGATCCTGTGAAGTCAATGGGATTCATTACATTTACTTCAATGTCACTGGATCAGGCACAGAAGCCAGAAGCTTTTCTCTTTGGGTATGTCTACACTACAAAGTTAGTTCGAACTAATGGACGCTAGTTCGAACTAACTTTCATAGGCGCTACACTAGCTCTCCGCTAGTTCGAACTTAATTCGAACTAATGGAGCGCTTAGTTCGAACTAGGAAAACCTCATTTTACGAGGATTAAGCCTAGTTCGAACTAGCTAGTTCGAATTAAGGGGTGTGTAGCCCCTTAATTCGAACTAGTGGGAGGCTAGCCCTCCCCAGCTTTCCCTGGTGGCCACTCTGGCCACCACCAGGGAAACTCTTCTGCCCCCCTCCCGGCCCCGGACCTCTTAAAGGGGCATGGGCTGGCTACAGTGCCTGTGCCAGGTGCAAGCCTGCCAGCAGACCCTGCACCTGCACGGATCGAGCCACCTACCCGATGCCCCCCAGCCCTCCCCCTCTTCCCGGGACCAGGCTGGAGGCTCCTGGGAGCTTGCCCGGGACCGAAAGAGGCGGGCACCTGCCTGGGCTAGTGCAGACATCGTGGACCTCGTCCACAATCTCCACACTAGGCACAGGAAAGTGGCCGTCTAGGGCAGGAGAGCTGCCAGCCTGGCCACCAAGGAGCAGGT